ATGAGCCATGTAGAAGTAGAATACACTTTACTGTGATAAGCAGGTACTTATAGAACAGATGCTTTTGTTGCAGCCACCTATAGAGCAGCAAAAAGACTTGTAGACATTGATGAGCCGCTCTGGTTGATCTGGGCAATAGCAAGTAGAAAAGTAACAGACATTTTATTGTCTTTAGCAGGTACACAGCATACATAGCCTGTTTTAGGACCCACCAGTAGAGCAGCACAGGGACTTTGGCAGGCCGTTCCGGTTGCTCTGGGCAACGGCAAACAGGACAGCAATAGCACACATTTTTTCTGCCATTAGCAGACACATACCAAGCAAAGTCTTTTGTAGGGGAGCTGTAGAGCAGCAAAAAGACTCTTGTATAAGCCTGGCATAGTTGGTGTGAGTGACAACATAAACGAAAATCCTTTAAATCACAGCAGTGTTCACAATCCCAGCAATACAGTACACTCCACTTTTCCTTTCAGCTCCGTGACACTTCCACCAATGCAAACACTTGTCCTGGATTGTTGGTTGCTAGGGGCAAGGGACGTTCAGGTTTTCATAGGAGATCTCAGAATTATGAGCCCCCAAATGTAGCACAAATGTAGGAGTTGCTGAAGTTTTGGGTTCCCCTATAGTCCTTCACAGCCAGGCAACATGCATTTTTCACACAGACTTGCATCCTGAAGACAGTGACCAGTCGTTCAGCTGTTTTTTTTTTAATGGGGGATTTTAACTTGGATGGGGTAAGGGATGTATTGGATGCCCAAGGGAATGGCAACTGAGGACAATCTTCTTGGAACTATATACAACTCTCTTCAAACAGCAAAACTTCTCTTCTTGGAGAGCTCTACCACCCCAAACCCCAGATACTGCTCTATCCAGCTGTCTGAAGGAATCCCTGGGCAGGGGATCCAGTGCCTCTTACTTTAAATATAAGATAGTCTCAGGTAACAAACTAATCCAGCTTCCCGCTAGAGTCCTTTCTGGCCCAGGAGGTGTAGGTCTATACAGACAGTCCTCTGTCTGTGAGCTGATGGGTCTGTGACTGCTCTCAGACCTTCCGCTGGGCTGCTCCTTCCCTGCTGCACAGATGGTCCTCGCATGACAATGAGCTGCTGAGCTTTCTACCTTTCCAGCTCTTCTGCCTGTAGGTGAGCCCTTTCCCATCTGGGCCCCCTCCCAGGCTCCTGCTCTCCAGCCTCTCAGTTCATCATCCACCCGAACTCTCCCACAGCATGCAGAGAAGAAACACCTTGCTATGTGATGTGAGCTCCTACGATGTAAGGGCTTTACAGAGCTGCCCGTCTTGGTGGGAACATAGAGTTGGGGATCTTGTTCCTTTGAGGCTTTTAGAGAGCATGGATGATTCAAAGACACTCATACAAAGAAAAACAGCAAGGAGTGCACCAACCAATGAAGAGCAATTGTATTGCCATTAAAGTTGTGCACCTGATTAGCTGATAAAGATGTTATGTTTTATATGCAAGAAGTCTCAGTATATTTTCTGAGTTTCCATTGTCACTAGCAGAGGTATCAAAAGAATCTTTTCTGTGGAGAGGTAAGTAAAGTGAGCAGTATTGGAGTGGGATTGATCAATGAGTGACAACTGCAATGTGAAGACGTTGCATTAGTGTAGTCACACTGGGAAAGGCAAAGTTGCCTTCCTGGCTCTAGGCACCATGTAAGAGGCCAAGTGTCAGAGGTATAGACTCTTGCAGAAGGATGCCTGAGCAGTGAGACCCCAGGGGAAAGACAGCATGGATGTTTAGCTGATGTCTCCCTTGTGCTATATGGTGCATGCAGACATACACAGATCTAGAATTTTCACTTACAAAAAGAGGCATATTTGACTTAAATAAGAAGGTAAAATGAGCAGCCACACTTACCAAGTAGAATCAGTCATAACATTTCTGCCATCAAATGAATAGATCGGAATTTGAGCATTGTAATGTCCGCCATTGCCAGAAAATATAGACTCCCAATTGTCAAAAAGAACCTCACCCTAAACAAAAAAAAAACAAAACAAGTAGTTTACTGACAGTTTAAATACATACCTCTAGCACAGGTAATATAGAAAATGCTAATTTCATCTTCCTAAATGTAAAAACCAGTTTGCGGGAAGAGTCCCACAAATGTAAAGTAATGGGACAGAGTAGGACAGAGAACTGCCTTCCAATGTTTGGGGGGTACCCACATTAAGATCGATGGGATGGGGAGCGCAAGCCTGTTCCTCCAAAGCTATCTACTCAGATCTATAAAAATTGGAGTATATTTGGGTCCGCTGAGATATTTATTACAGGTATTTATATAGCGCCAGTAATTTACTCAGCACTTTACATCTATATTGTGCATTCACATTAGTCCTTGCCCTCAAGGAGCTTACAGTCTAAGGTCCCTAACATTCATACATACTAGGGTTTTATAGAGAGGATCAAATTAACCTTCTAGCTTGTCTTTGGCGTGTGGGAGGAAACTGGAGTTCCCGGTGGAAACTTGCAAAGGCACAGGGAGAACCTGCAAACTCCAGGAAGGCAGTGTCACAATTAGAATATGTATTGTCATTTTACAATACAAAACATAAAATGAAACACAGCACTGACAATATAAGGGTTCACTAGTGCTGTTAGGTGAAAGTGGTAACCACTTACTGGCCCTGTAATATTTCCTGAGATCCAGAACCCCTAGTCCACCTCAGTCTGGAGACATATACAGCGTTCAGTGTTGCATTCTGTGACCTCTAGGGCCCCAGATAATTTTAGTACTTTGTTCTGAAACCTTTGAAGGTTTGCTGCAGTTAAGATTTGAAGGAAGACCACATCTCTACGCCCTGCAACAAATGTACTAATAGGTGCACATAGTTATTCTTTATAAAGTATTGTCATGGTAGAGGTCAGCTTAATTAGATACAACAGGGAACCCTGTCTGCCAAATAAAATTATATTGACTTTTTAGACTTTGCATGCAAAGTATCCTCATGCAAGGTGATGTTGAGAGCCTCTGACTTATCCAAGTTCACATCTAGGACCGAGATACTTGTCAATAAGGAATAGAATATAAGCACGTGGGGAAGTGAGAAAGAGAATCAAATCATCGGTGAACAGGATGCTTTTATGCTGTTTGTGCCTGCTTTCCATACCTAAAATGGCTATGGCCACAGTCTTGATGGCAGTAATAAATAGAAGAGGAGATGCAACCCTGTTGAGTTCTGGACTCTATGGAAATGGGTTTGGATAAATAGTCCCTCAACCATATCTGCTCAGAGGTATTACTACACAAGGTTTGGAGGAAAGCCATAAACTTGGGGCCGAAGTACAATCTTGCGAGAATCTGAAAGAGGTAATCCCACAAGATGGTATCAAATGCTTTCCAGTTACAGTATCGTATCTAATGAAAGCAACATTCCTTTCTGTGACCTGCCTCAGTCCCAAGAAGACTGTAAAATAGAGATTCGATATAATTTGCTCTGAAGCTTTCCTATCAGGCACGAACCCAACTTGGTCCACATGAATGTAGCGAGCAATACAGTCGCTCAGCCTGGTAGCATAAAGTTTAGCTTACAGTTACAAGTCAGTATTTATGAAAGAAATTGGCCTATAATTAGACACATCACTGAGATCCTTGTTGGGTTTAGGTATGAGGCTGATTGGAGTCCAAATCCATAGGGTCACCATTCCGAAGAGTGTTAAAGTAAGTCACTAAGTGCGGGATTAGGAGTGGAGCAAATTATAATACAGGGCCATAAATTCATCAGGTCCAGGAGCCTTAGCTGGTTTCCACTCCTTAATGACCCTGAGGACTTAAGCCTGAGTAATTTCACCTTCCATGATCTCCCTATGGGAGTCCGACAGGATTGGCAAAAGAAGGCGGGATACAAAGACCTCAAAAAGACCTTGGGTAGGTATGGAATTCCTTAAGCACTGTCATGAGATTCTGAGTCAGCTATCCATTCGCTTTTCTAAGTTTAGGGACCGACATGAATTAATTTCCAAGCCAACAGTTTCCCCAGATGGTCAAAATGTTGGTAGAGTTTTGCATGAGACCACTTAAGGTGTTCCTCTGCCTTACTGGTGAGCCAGACATTAAGCTGCAGACTTGTGGCTTCTGTTTTATGCCAAAGGTCAAGCTGTGGGTTCTGAACGTTGGATATTTTATGATAAAAATATCAGTTGGCAGCGAATGATTTGGGGCATAAGGGATTAATTGTGTACTTAACTACACCCAGCTAAGATCGCTGTCAGTCGGATGGCACTTAGATTGTGTCCTGTGATCTGGAAAATAATTGTGCAGGGTGAAGCTGAGTGTCATTGTCACGTATCAGTAACAACATGGTGTGCGTTTGACCAGCCATTTGTCACAAGTTGGTAAAGGTGGCCAGGGTCTTATACCGTGTCCATCACAATCATTAGTGTACTCAAATTTGTCGAAAGTTACATTTTTATGAGGGGCATGTTAATATGACAAGTACAAGAACTTTCAAAAACACAAAACTTCAATAGGCTACACGCCTACACCCTATGCTTTCCGATACTAAATTGAACTACATACAGTGCTCAGCAAAAATGAGTACACCCATTTTGAAAAGTAAGATTTTAATTAATATCTCAACACAAGAACAATTAACAAAATTTTGATAAAACTGAGTTTTATAGAACATTTTTTAGCTCATTACATGAAAGTAAGGTTAATAATATAACTTAGATTACAAAATCTTCAGTTTTACTCAAAGTAGTTGATGCAAAAATAAGTATACCCCACAACACAAACTACTACATCTAGTAATTTTTTATGACCTTCATGATTAGTAAGTCTTCTAGGCATGGAATGAACAAGTTGGTGACAGACTGCAACATCTATCTTTTTCCAGTCTTCAAGAACGACCTCTTTTAGAGCCTGGATGCTGGATGGAGAGTGATGCTCAACTTGTCTCTTTAGAATTCCCCATAGGTGTTCGATTGGGTTCAGATCAGAAGACATACTTGGTCACTGGATCACTTTCACCCTGTTCTTCTTGCAATAGTGGCCTTAGATGTGTGTTTTGGATAATTGTCATGTTGGAAAAGTGAGCGATGGCCAAGGGCACAGAGTGATGGTAGCAGCATCTCTCTCAATATAGGGCGGTACATATGTGAATTCATGATACCATCAATGAAATGCAGATCTCCTGTATCGCTGCATGAGTGCAGCTGGTGTTGAAGGACACTGCGACCACCATGTTTCACTGTAGGCACCATGAATTTTTCTTTGTACTCCTCACCTTTGTGACACCATACAGTTTTGAAGCCATCAGTTCAAAAAACATTTATCTTGGTCTCATCACTCCAGAGTACAGAGTCCCAGTAGTCGTCTTCTTTTTCAGCATGGGCCCTGGCAAATTCTAGACAGGCTTTTTTGTGAATGGGCTTCCTTCATGGACGTCATATGGACTTCCCATGCATGTCATTCCTGCAGTGTCCATATTGTGTCACGAGAAACAATCACCCCAGTTTGGCTTTCTACTTCTTTAGCTAACTGCAGTGAACTTGCATGGCGATTTTCTTCAATCCTTCTCATCAGAAGATTCTCCTGTCGAGGTGTTAACTTCTGTGGACAGCCTGGATGTCTCTGTGAGATGGTTGCTGTTCCATCTTTGTTAAATGTTTGTATCACTTTTGTTACAGTATTCTAACTGATAAGTAAACCTTTGCGGATCTTCTTGTAGCCTTCACCTTTCTTGTGTAAAGAAATTATTTTCTTTCTCAGGCCTTGTGACATTTCTCTTCCATGTGGTGCCAAAGCAGACCACATGAAATGGGAAGGGGTTTACTTTCTCCGTAACACCCTTTTAAAATCAACTGTCTGCTGGACACCTGTTTAATGAATAATTAGACTCACCTGTAGTTGAATTCCTGTTAATTAGGATTTTGTTCTCCAAAATTTAGCTTTGCTCCTAATACTTTTATTGGGGTGTATTAATTTTTGCCTGCATTTGTGGGAGTATTTTTTTTGTTTACAAAACAGTTTTATTTTTCAAAGGTAGACTGTAAAACAACAGTACAGTTTCAAGTAATGCGTACATTAATTACAAAGGCACATTTGAAAAGTACATTTCTGAAGAGTACATATACAATTGCAAAAAAAAGTATGTGAACCCCTTGGGATTACGTGGAGTTTTGCATGAATTGGGCATAAAATGTGCTCTGAACGTCATCTAAGTCACAACAATAGAAGAACACAGTCTGCTGCACATAATACTACACAAACATTAGATGTTGCCATGGTTTAATTGCACATAACATGTAAACATTCACAGTGCAGGGAGTTAAAAGTATGTGAGGCCCTAGCTTAATGACTTCTCCCAGAGCTAATTGGAGCCAGGAGTGAGCCAACCTTGACTCCAATCAGTGTGATGATATTGGATGTGTTGCTGACAGCTGTCCTGCCCTTAAAAAACACACACCTGTTTTGGGTTTACTGGTTTCAAGAAGCACTGTCTGATGTGAACCATGCCTCGCAGAAAAGAGCTCTCAGAAGACCTACGATCAAGAATTGTTGACATGCATGAAGCTGGAAAGGGTTACAAAAGTATCTCCAAAAGCCTTGATGTTCATGTGTCCACGGTAAGACAGACTGTCTACAAATAAAGAAAGTTTAGCACTGTTGCTACTCTCCCTAGGCGTGGTCGTCCTGTAAAAATGACTGCAAAAGCACAGCACAGAATGCTGCGTGAGGTAAAGAAGAATCCCAGAGTGTCAGCTAAACACCTACAGAAATCTCTGGCACATGCTAACATTTTTGTTGACACATCTACAATAAGGAAAACATTAAACAAGAATGGAGTACATGGGAGGACACCACGGAGGAAGCCATTGCTGTCCAAAAAGAATATTGCAGCACGTTTGACGTTTGCAAAAGAGCACCTGGATGTTCCAAAGCACTACTGGCAAAATATACTGTGGACAGATGAAACCAAGATTGAGTTGTTTGGGAAGAACACACAACACTATGTGTGGAGAAAAAAAGGCACAGCACACCAACATCAAAACCTCATCCCCACTGTAAAACATGGCGGAGGGAGCATCATGGTTTGGGGCTGCTTTGCTGCTTCAGGGCCTGGACGGATTGTTGTCATTGATGGGAAAATTAATTCCAGAGTTTATCAAGACATTTTGCAGGAAAACGTACGACCATCTGTCCGCCAACTGAAGCTCCGCAGAGGATGGGTGATGCAACAGGACAATGACCCAAAGCATACAAGTAATTCAACAAAACAATGGCTGCAAGAGCACAGAATACGCCTTCTGGAGTGGCCCAGTCAGAGTCCTGACCTCAACCCGATTAAAATGCTGTGGCATGACCTTAAGAGAGCGATTTACACCAGACATCCCAAGAATATTGCTACACTGAAACAGTTTTGTGAAGAGGAGTGGTCTAAAATTACTCCAGATCGTTGTGCAGGTCTGATCTGCAACTACAGGAAACGTTTGGTTGAGGTTATTGCTGCCAAATGAGGGTCAACCAGTTATTAAGTCCAAAGGTTCACATACTTTTTCCTCCCTTCACTGTGAATGTTTACATGTTATGTGCAATTAAACCATGGCAACATCTAATGTTTGTGTAGTATTATGTTCAGGAGACTGTTCTTCTATTGTGACTTAGATGACGTTCAGAGCACATTTTATGCCCAATTCATGCAAAACTCCACGTAATCCCAAGGGGTTCACATACTTTTTCTTGCAACTGTATTTAAAAGAGATAGATAGGAAGGAAAAAGAAAGAGAAAAGATTTTAGGTACATGAGAAACGGGAACGATAAAGTGGGTCGAAAGACACATCTGCCAATAGTATATGCCAAATAACCTTCAAATGGCTTTATAGTCCTGTAATAAATGTCTATGAACCCTCCATAATTCCCATTTTTTATCGAATAAGTGCATCTTATCCAGCAAAGTATAATGAATACGTTCCATGAGCATCACAGCGTCAACTCTATGTAAAAAAGAGGCCAGGGTTACAGTGATGGATTTCCAATGTAGGGCAATAGACCATAAAGTGGCAATACAAATGATATGCATCAATCTCATAACAGCATCAGAGACCCCAGGATACGAGCTCCCAGTAAACAAGACTGTATAGTCAGACATACCGGGGCACCTACCAATGAAGCAGCTACCTCAGATATCCTACGCCAAAACCAAGGATATAGTTGGGCAAGCCCAAAATGTGTGAATCAATGTGCCCGTGAGGCCACAGCCCCGGAAACATAAGGGGGACGTTTGTTAGTACAGTACATGTAGCCTTGACGGGGTATAATACCATCTGGTTAATACCTTGAAGGCAGTCTCACGGACAGAAAGGGATCTCGAACACTTACATCATGGAATCCCACTCCTCATCTGAGAAAGTGATACCAATATCCTCCTCCCATCTTTGTCTATATAAAGGGGGCGTGGGAGAGAAACTGATCAAAAATTGATGATAAAGATCTGAGATAAGACCCCTACCCCTAGGAGAGTCACGGCTAATATGTTCAAAGAATGAGATCGGAGAAGAGGGTATGAGGCCAAAATGTGACTGAAAAAAAATGTCTAATCTGTCAATAACGATGGTACTCTCGAAGCAGAACATCAAAAAGTACACGCAGCATATCAAAAGTAATATAAGATCCTCCTCTTTGAAAATCAGATAATCTAATAAGAGATCTGTCATACCACCAATGAAACGTTTGAGGGGAAGAAAATGCCGTAATAAAGTTTGAATCACCAAAAAACAAAACACCCGGAGAAAAACAGAAGAGACCAGATTTAATTTAAGTGTATATTTGGACCAAAGTGTCAGTGAATGGGCAACTATAGAGTTGTAAAAAGTGAACGATTGAGGGGGGATTCTGGACCACAAAATACTCGGTAAGTAAAATGGGCGTATAGACTGATATTCAAATCTAATCCACGGGGTCTGAGAATTTACAGTCGCCCATTGTGATAATTGTGCAAAACGGGCTGAGAGGTAATATAGCCAAAAATTGGGAAGACCTAGACCTCCCGTCCGTTGTGAGCGGTACAGAACAGATGAGGTTAAGCGTGGACGTTTATTACACCAGATAAAATTATTAATAACCCGCTGAAAGTGATCCAGAAATAGGTAAAGTAGTTTGGGCAAAATATTCATTTTGACTGCCGTGACTCTACCCAGGAAGGAAGTAGGGTAACCATGCCAAATCTTCAAAAGAGTACACATGGTGGGAGTATTTTGTAGTGTCCCATAGAAAATGTCAATTCTGAAAGGAAAATAAAGATTTTTTGAGAAATCTGTTGGGGTGTACTCATTTATGCTGAGCACTGTATACTCAACAAAGAATACAGAGGACAAGTCGGAGAGTTTTAAGGTACTAAGGTTTTAGCATCAGCTAGTGCATTCCATTGGGTAACAAATATAAAAGAGCAAGAGTTAAACCTAAGTGACTAAATTCTAGAGTAAAAAGAAATATACACATTGATCAGTCCAGGGGCATGCAGTAGCTACAGGGCTCGCAACTGCAACCCAGCCCCATGCTGAAGGGGGCCCATGTGGCCCCCTGTATGCTGGAATGGGAGGAGTGGCAGGGGCAACTGCATATAGAGGAAACGATCTCTCCAAGTTCCTCCTGCAGCCACAGAATGTCTGTAGGAAAGGAGGGGAAGCAGTAATTCAGCAGATGCAGGAGGAACAGGGATGGCTTGTTCTATATATGTAGCCTCCCCGCCGCTCCTCCTATCTAGCTTCTTTCGGCTGCACCTGAGCTAAGAGAGTTAGTTCTGACAGTTCACCTCCCCCCCACACACACCTGCTTCTGCTCCTCCTCTTCCCTCCCTATGCTCCTGTGTCTTCCCCACCCTCAGGAAGTTTGAGGAAAGGTGCAGCCTGCCGGTTCACTGTGATTGAAGTCCCCCCGTCCCTTTTCTCTCTTGCCTCCCAGTGAGTACTGTAATGTAAGAAGATACTTCCTTCCTTTTTTCTTTTCTGTCTTTTCCTTCCTTTTCTTCCTTCCTTCTTTTCCATTTTCATTTTTTCTTTTTACTGTATTATTATTATTATTATTATAATACAGGATTTATATAGCGCCAACAGTTTGTTCAGCGCTTTACTTTATAGTGGGAGACAATACAGTAACAATACAAGAGGGATTTGAGGGCCCTGCTCCTTAGAGCTTACAATCTAGGAGGGAGGGGTACAATAGGTAATAACTGTGGGGGATTGAGTGGTTGGAAGAGTAGAGGATTCCATTATTAGCAGAGGGCGGGATAGGCTTCCGTGAAGATATAGTTTTTCAGTGATCGCCTGAAAGTAAGTCTGATAGATTGGGGTAGGAAGTTCCAGAGGATGGGTGACACCCTGGAGAAGTCTTGGA